TATATATATATATATATATATATATATGTATATGGTACTACGTTAAAGAAATGTAGAAAATGTAATGGATTTAAGTACTATCACAAGAAACACACACACATATATATATATATATATATATATGCTACGATAATTTGAAAGTTCATTTCACAAAATTATGAACGATATTTTCCTTCCTTAAAATGGATATTTTATTTTGGATCCGATTTCTCGGTTATAAAACCCGTCATATTATTTCGTAGAGCTTAGTTATATATATAGTTGGATTGATGTGAGTTTGCGATCGTCAAAAGCGTGAAATGTTAGCTCTATCTCTGATATTGCTTTCTAATAAGTACCGCGCATATAATGTATAAATAATTATATATATATATATATTTATTTATTTGGTTGGATAGATGTGAGTTTGTGACCCTGGGTTTCACGCTTTACAACCAAATATGTTAGCTCTATCTCTGATATTGAGCGCTTTCTAATAAGTACTATATAATATATATATAAATAATTATACATATATATATTTATTTATATTTATATTCACTTTTCACATATATATTTATTTATATTTATATACACACTTTCACACACACACACACACATATATATATATATATATATATATATATATATATATATATATATATATATATAACATGTAAGCTTTTTGAATGACCCATGTCCTCAGTACTTACATGTGAAATATTATAATAATAGGTTTATATATAAAAGAAAAGTTTACTGAATCAGTGAAATTAAGTAACCATTTCTGCTGTCATAGTCATATACAAAAAAAAAAAAAAAAAAAAAAATGTAACCGCATATACATACTTAAAATTAATGTTAAAATAATCCTACATAATATAATGGATTCTAATACATTTAACTGTTCTTAAAAAAGAATATAGTAAAATAAAAAATAAAAAGGAAAATATTTCAAATCGTAGTTAAATAAAAAGTATTGTAAAAAAATCTTTAATTTTAAAAGATGACGTTGAAAATTTTTTACCGTTAACAATTTTTTTTTTTTTTTTTTTTTTTTAAATTCAGACGACATCCATTCAACTGACGTCAGGTTTCAGTGTAAAATACATCCTCACCCCTTACCAAAATGTAGCTAATAACTGATACAATGATACTGTCATAAGGAAAATCTAGACACCCCGTGTTCAATTTGAGTAGAATATTCTGTAACCATGGAAACGTGATTTTAGCTGTGTATTTAAAACCCGGTAATTTTTAAAAGTTACTCCAAAATTCGCTTGAAGATGAAATGGAACTAATGCTTTTAATTTATTTGCAAAAAAAATAAAATTAGGGTTTTTAGCTTCTATTTTTGAAACATGGTTGGAACTGTGTAGCGAAAATAACCATATTTTTTAAATTAATTTATAATATATATATATATATATATATTGTTAATAAAACTAAATCAATCAATGTATATATATATATATATATATATATATATATATATATATATAATATCAGTGGAAAATATACATACGTATGCAAAATATATAAATACCCATACATGTATATTTTCAGAAAAAATTCCAAGAGGAAGAATCCAGGTAGAACTCAATGTCTAGGACAGAGTAAGGATATAATAAAATGGCTTAAACACTAATATTCCATGGTCATAATTTATTCCATTGGAATCGTAAATACGATCCAATTCATCAGACCTACAGATTCAAAAAGAAAACAGAAAAAAACCCACTCCAGAAGTGCAAACAGAATTTAGAGAAAGTGTAAATATGAGGAGGGGGGAGATTGAACATTAACAGAGAGAATTTTAGGAGAGGTGGTGGGGAGGGTTTTAGATAAGAGAAGAGAATGAATGTCGACGGATGTCTAATGCATTTCGTGGTGACATACACACACCATCGACAATTTAATCAAGAATAATAGGGAGGGGAAGGGAAAGACGAGGTAGGGGAGAGAGATGGGACGAAGAAAAGTAAAATTGCGTTTACTTAAAGGGCCGCTTTGTAATTGAGAAAATAGTGTTTAAGCCTTTTTTTTTTATTATATATATATATATATATATATATATATATATATATTGATTGGTTAGTTTTATTAACATATTATATAAATAATCTTTATTCAACATTTGCATATTAAGTTAAAAAATAATTCTATACGTTTAAATTATTTACTAGTTTCTTAAAGAAGCTATTTATTTAACAAATATAAAAAAAAATATGTAGAAAATTCACAAAGCGTATAACTTGTTTAGCATTTTGTTAAATTACCTCTCCCCACCCAACGCTTATTTCTTTGGCAAATACATAGTTTGATTTGTATAATTTTTGTAACCTTATGGTTACGCTTTAGTTTATGCCTGGCTGTCCTTAGGTGCCAATCTACTGGTCATGACCCATTTATAAAAAATATTTTTTGATTTTTGCTTCTTCGTTTTGTTTAAGTTTAATGTAAGTTATATTTGATTGGTTGCTCAGAGTAAAACCCACAATTGTGTAGCGATTTTTACATGTTTTCTGTGTAATATCCTTATATATATATATATATATATATATGTGTGTGTGTGTGTGTGCGTGTGTGTGTGTGTGTATTCCAGGTGTAACAGCAAAATTGTTCAAATCGCGTAACAGCATAAGTATCTAGCCACAAAATGTTTAATTGCTAAAAACACTAAACTAATTGAGTTTCTCTTTAGAACTACTGAAAAATCCCTTGGGCTATTTAGCTATAAAGAGAGCAGGTTAACTCGTTTTGCGTCAGCCCCACTATGTCTTCCTAGTTGAGAAATGGTGAGAGGAAAAAAGATCATTCAGGCATTCATTAATGGTACCAACATTGATACTCCGTCTTCCATCTTCAAAGTCCATTCAAGAACCATCAAGGGAACAGTGAATTGGTTTTAAAAAGAGGGAACAGTAGAAAGGAAAACTGTATCAAGAGGTCACAACAGGAAAAGGGATCACCATTTCAAGTTTCACTTAAAGAGGTCAATTAGAAAAGATCCAACTCAATTCATAAAACATTTGGCACGTGCAAGAGTAGTCTTAGCTATTATAGGTCAAAGGGCAGGGGAAAAAGTCTTGGAAATGAAATCGTACGTGAAACCTGTGAGACACCACCAGGACAGAAAGTTAAATGGTTAGAAAGGGTGATGATCATCTTGAATAAGTTGGAAAATGATCCTGGAATAATATATATATATATATATATATATATATATATATATATATATATATATTTGAACATTTTTTTTCAGTACTTCATGAGCTTCTCATCCTTAGCTATGATTAAATAATGATGAACATGTCATTTTTCTTTATGATCGATTTCCTCACGATTTTTCTGTTAGGCATAGAGATTAATTATACTTTTCTTTTGCTAAAAGTAGAGTCAATGAGTGTTATAAAAACCTCAGAGAATTCCAGTAAGATATCTTTAATCATTTCTAAGATATAATGTCTCAGAGCTTAATCTGATAATTGGACAATTTTGCTGTTATACGATTTGGTTCGATTTTGCTTTTACTATCGTCTGTAATTAAACGAAAGAGGGTTCACGTGTGCTTCTTAATTAAATAGGACGGATAATAAATTATGAAGAATAATAGCCCACAAACATATATATGTATATATATATATATAGAGAGAGAGAGAGGGATACATAGATAAATGTGAAATAAGATAGATAGATAGATAGATAGATAGATAGATAGATAGATAGATAGATAGATAGATAGGTGAGATGTGAAATATAACAGATAGATAGATAGATGTGAAATATGATAGATAGATAGATAGATAGATAGATAGATAGATAGATAGATAGATGTGAAATATAACAGATAGATAGATAGATGTGAAATATGATAGATAGATGTGAAATATAACAGATAGATAGATGTGAAATATGATAGATAGATAGATAGATAGATAGATAGATAGATAGATGAGATGTGAAATATAAAAGACAGACAGATAGATAGATAGATAGATAGATAGATAGATGAAAAAATGATAGATAGATAGATAGATGATAGATAGATGATAGATAGATAGATGAGATAGAAATATAACAGATAGATAGATAGATGTGAAAATAATATGATAGATAGATAGATAGATAGATAGATAGATAGATAGATAGATAGATAGTTGAAATGTGAAATATAAAAGACAGATAGATAGATAGATAGATAGATAGATAGATAGATAGATAGATAGATAGATGAAATGTGAAATATAAAAGATAGATAGATAGATAGATAGATAGATAGATAGATGTGAAATATAACAGATAGATAGATGTGAAATATGATAGATAGATAGATAGATAGATGAGATGTGAAATATAAAAGACAGATAGATAGATAGATGTGAAATATGATAGATAGATAGATAGATAGATGAGATGTGAAATATAACAGATAGATAGATAGATGTGAAATATGATAGATAGATAGATAGATAGATATATAGATAGATAGATGAGATGTGAAATATAAAAGATAGATAGATAGATAGATAGATAGATAGATGTGAAATATAACAGATAGATAGATAGATGTGAAATATGATAGATAGATAGATAGATGGATGAGATGTGAAATATAAAAGACAGATAGATAGATAGATGTGAAATATAACAGATAGATAGATAGATGTGAAATATGATAGATGATAGATAGATAGATAGATAGATAGATAGATAGATAGATAGATGTGAAATATAAAAGATAGATAGATAGATAGATAGATAGATAATTAAATTTAATGTATAGCAGGTCGGCCCACTTTTTAACCAACACCTCCCGTTTTAAGATACGTTTTCTCTTTTGAATACGTATTTTCTTTTTTTGGGAATCACTTCCTTGGATTTCTTTTTCTTTTGCTAACACGATGTGTTCGAGTATTTATAATTGGAGTTAACGAGTCAAGTATCTTACATCACTTCCATAGGTAAATCTCTTTGTTGGGTTTTATTTCCTTGCTATATCTTGCTTTTTAAATGATTTAATGCCTTTTATGTCACCAGTTTCAAACTTGTGTCATATACATCATCCTGCCAATGGAATCTGGTATTTCAAAATGTTCTCAACTTTCTTTTCCTGCCACATAAATCCTGAAGAAAACCAGCAGATTTAAAAGATTGTATAGCTTATTTTGTATTACGCCAACTTTTTTCTTTTTCTTTCAGATAGTAATTTAATTTTTCTAGAAGACTTAAGTTTCGCTGATGACATCCAAATTAATTTGGATGTCACCAGCGAACCCCTAATTCTAATACTTCAGTATTAGAATTAGGGGTCAGTCTACAAATTCTTAAAAACTGTTGGTACATTACTTCTTCCATTTCCTCCCACGTTGATGTCGTCAACGCCCTTTTGAACGTATCAACAAGGCTTTCAGCCTGACCGTTTGATCTTGGGTGATAGGATAGCGTTGTTATATATTCAACTATATAGTATTTTCAGAAATTTTCAAAATTACTCAAAATAAATTATGTGCCATTATCAGACACTATAGCGCATGGAAATCTAATACTCGAAAATAGTTCATAAAGAAAATTTATTGTTACAATGGATGTAGGTCTTTTACACTCAAATAATTCATGCCATTTTGAAAAACTGTCGACGACAATCAAGGAACATGCACTATTTAAAACATCTTCGTTCTCAACAGTAAAGCTAGACCAATGTTTTCAGTATTTAGCCAGGGATGATAATTTACAGGTGGTAATTTTGCGGCTAGAACCCAACCTCTGCATAGCTTCACCAAGTTTTCAATAGCTGCTCCATTTTATGCCAATATATTTGTTGTGGATTCTGGGATGAAATCTAATCTCAAATGAATGACAAACGCAGGAATGAAATATAACAAATAAATCTATTGACGTAATAATAGAATTGGTAATACGGTTAGTAGATCCAGAAATGCGGTTAGTAGCAATTATAATATATATACAGTCTGGGAAATTCAGTATCGAAGTATGACGTCCTTCTGAGTCTACAGGCTCGTAACTGTGACTCCTACAAAGCGGTTACCTCACACTCTCACTCTCTCACTGTCTCACTGTATCACTGTATCTCTTTGACTCACTCTATCTCCCGGGTATTCACTGGTCGCGTCCACTTGTATGAAAGAGGGGTGGACCCCATAACAATATTTTTCAGAAGCCATTTTATTCTTGACCTCCCAGAATGTCCAACATGAAACTACTTTAAAAATATTTTTTACAAGGAAGCAGGAACTTCGACTCTTTCATCGGTCATCAGTATTTCATCCGACATGAAAAAAGACTTTTTTTTTCAGTAACACCTACTTTATTTTTTCTTTCCATCTCACTTTTACATCATTCATTATTTTCAAAATGTAGTCATCCTTCTTGGATTGTATTTTAATTTCGTCAAGGTTTGGTTCCCTTATTGTGTTACACAAATATAATTTTGTCTCCTTTTCAGAAATTAAAGTAGCAAACACCGTCCCTAAAAAGGGATCAATCTGGATATAGCATCTCCATGTTCAAAATTTTATGGTAAATACTTCATCTTAATATCATCGTTTAATGAATTCGTTCCAAAATTGCAACCAGTTGGCAGTATATATTGGAATATCGTTTTTTAGAAACAGAAAGAGTCAATAATGACCGGTGATCTGTTTGCAGAATAAATCCCGTAATTTTTATTATTTTGTGAAATGTTTTTCACTGCAAAAATAATAGCTAGCACGTCTTTTTCGATTTGATTGCTATCAACGTTCTAGATACATGGGTAACTGCTTTTATTTTTCCAGCTGTGAATTTATAACAAAAAATGCTTCAATGCCATAATCGTTAGGATCTGATGCTAAAGTTATATCTAAATCAGGATTGAAATGCGTTAACGATAATTCAGATGCTGGAATGGCTTCAAAAGATTTTTAATATTCATCGGACGGATTCAATACCGCATGTTATTTCAATAATGTTCTTAAAGGCGTGTTTGTCAGATGAAGAGCGAACATTGGAAAATATTTTAAACTAGTAACCTTTGTGGGGGCAGGCAGTTTTTGATGCATCTGGTCTACTCCCATTTGTACTAATTATTTGTTCCAAGTATTTTATATTGATCAAGAATTGTAACGTCAATATCTAAGTCACCTGGCATCGTATCCATTACTTGCTGGAAAATGCTTTGACCCCGAACGGTAGCCTTTTAAAACTTTACAGAATATTTTGTATCGTTAACAAATTTTGTATATATATATATATATATATATATATATATATATATATATATATGTGTGTGTGTGTGTGTGTGTGTGTGTGTGTGTGTGTGTGTGAAAATATATAGAAAATAGGAAAGAACTCGTTAGGTAAATAATCCAAAATTCATTATTTACATTATTCGGACTATTGTCCTCATCTTTGTCGCCATATTTATCACAACGTTTCGGTCGTTGTACGCCCCGGCGTTCTTCAGGTGGTTGGGATTTCGAACTGAACCCTTTATTTCGCTCACTTATTTTCGCTCAAAAATGGCACGTGGAACTAAAACGTTCCACGTGCCATTTTTGATGGATGTCAGTTATCATTTATCTCCTGCTAATTTCACTCTGAAAGTTCTCCACTGCCTTAACCGGGTATTGAACTCACACTCTTTGGGTCTTGTCACTGGATCTAACCAACGCCTTTATCCACTGTGCCATGTGTCCTTGAGTTCTTTAGTATTTTTGTTATTACTTTTAAAAAAACAGTGCTCGATACAAAAGTAGAGCCTAAATTAATTATTTATTTAAAAATATGATTCCTTCGCTACATAAGATTTCTCAAGTTTCAAAACAAGAGCCGACAACGTCATTATAATTATTTGAATTAAATTGAATTAAAGTACCAAGCTCTGTTCCATCTTCAACCGAAATTTTTGGTATTCCAGAGCTTTTTATATATATATATATATATATATATATATATATATATATATATATATATATATATATATAAAGTTGTAGCCTCTGCCTCTCTGTTAGCGAAAACCTCCTAGGGTTTTGATGATAGACCACCATAACCATATATCATCTGATATTCATTATCCATGACCTCACCCACACACATGCACATACACATACACACGCACATACCCACACACGCGCGCGTGCACACACATACACGCACACACACACACACACACTGATTTTTTTTTTAAATTTGAGCAGGTGAATGACTCCTAGAGTACTTGGATAAGTATATTTCATTTTGATCAAAAGGTGTCGCCAGAAGGTAATCCCTCACAACGTTTTTTTCCTCTTTGATTTAAATTAAATCTAAATTTGAACAAGGGAATGACTCTCATCCAAAATATAGAGGGAGAAAGCCAGAAGATGGAGGTCTCATTGGCAAGATCAAAATGAGACAATATGGACGCCAAATTAGCAAGATATCACCAATCAGTGAGTAATACCTTACAGTACATATTTGTTGCGAAAATTCAACTGTCATATCAATGTTGAAATCTGCTCATCAATTCAGTAAATCAAGTATTGCATCAAATACATATCAAAGGGGTCAGATCAAGCAGTTTTTTACACAAACCCCACACTGGCATTCTTCCCTTTGATTTTATTTAAATTTAAATTTGAACAAGTGAATAACTCCTACCCAAAACATGGAAGGATAAAGCCAGAAGATGGATGTCACATCGGCAAGATCATTGAATAATATTGAAATGCATTATTTTTCTCCACAAATTATAACAGTGATTCAAAATAAATCATCATTTTCTTACCAAAACAATGTGTGGTACGTTCGATGGTCAATCGGCTGTCAATAAATCGATTAGCACCTCAGAAAAAAAAAAAACACGATCCCGTATTTAAGAAATGTCTGTATAGAATATTAAATTTAACTTAAATTTTGCTAATACGGTTTAAGAAATATATATTTCATTTTTGCAAGATTTTTAAAAACGGGAATTAACATTTGTTTACAAATGTGTCAAAAAGGACCGTTTTTATCGATCTTACAGAAAAAATCGATTCTGTTTGAAATACTTTACTGAGTATTTTTCTTACTGGAAATACAAAATTTTTAATCCTTTAACTTTCAATTAAAGTTAAAATAAAAGCTACAAGAAAGCCTTTTCTTTTTTACAAATTCATTTTAAAACTTACGTATACCGTACCTACTATATTTAGTGCGAGAACGCGTGCGACACACTTTGGGAATCATTTGCGATTCCGTTTCTCTCAGCAGAAGTCCTAATCATAGTGAATGGACAAGTCTATGTTCTACAATTTAGTGTTGAGCAGGTTGACCGTTTTCTTTACAGCAACTCCTTTCCCTTCTTTCCTTCTTTCTTTCTTTCTTTCTTTCTTTCTTTTTCACTGAAACCAATTAGTGTCTTTGCCCCTCTTTCCACGCGATCAAATTGGAATAGTCCATTATTTATGAGGTGTTGGCAGGATACGTAAAAAACTTATATCCTTTTAGTCAAATACCCGTCTTACGAACAATTCTCTTAATAATAATGTTAAAATGATTCAGCAATCATTGTTATTTCATTTTGGCTAAGTGAATTCTTACCGATTGCCTTACTCAGTTTCGGTCATTTGTTACTGGGTGTCTGGAATAATGTCTCGCTTTTATTGCAGTCTTCAGAACCTTCTAGTCTTTTTTGGTTGAGATCAAAGTGTCGTATCTGTTCTTATCAGTTTAACCAGATTCTTTCTCTTCATTTCTTTCTTTCTTTCTTTCGTCTTTCTGTCTTTCTTTCTTTCTTTCTTTTCTATGTCTTTCTTTCTTTCTTTCTTTTCTATGTCTTTCCTTCTTTCTTTCTGCCTGTTTTCCTTTCTTTCTTTCTTTCTTTCTTTCTTTCTTCCTGTTTTTCTTTCTGTTATGATGTTGATTTGGGGTTAGTAGAGACAAACGCCAAATAACACGTAACAATAAAAAGGGTTTTAATAGGTTGGTAAAAAGGTACGGAAATCGCCTGAGAAGTCAATAACTAACTCAGCCAAGAACTTCTCCGACTCTGTCTTCTCCCATGTCAACTGTCATGCCACTATTTAAAGTCTTTGTTCACAGACGCAGACAAGTTCATCTTCAAGAGGGGTGGTAGGTTTCCGACACAACACTTTCTTTCTATCTGTCTTTCTGTCTATCTGTCTTTCTGTTTTTCTTTCTTCATGTCTTTCTTTCTTTCATTCTTTCTATCTATCTATCTATCTATCTATCTATCTATCTATTCTTTCTTTCTTTCTTTCTCTTTTTCTTTCTATCTGTCTTTTTCTTTCTTTTTGTCTTTCTTTCTTTCATTTTTTCTTTCTTTCTGTCTTTCTTTCTTTCATTCTTTCTTTCTTCTGCCTTTCTTTCTTTCGTCTTTCCTTCCTTCATTCTTTCTGTCTTTCTGTCTTTCTTTCTTTCTTTCTTTCTTTCTTTCTTTCTTTCTGTCTTTCTGTCTTTCTTTCTTTCATTCTTTCTCTCTTTCTTTCTATCTGTCTTTCTGTCTTTCTGTCTTTCTTTCTGTCTTTCTTTCTTTCATTCTTTCTCTCTTTCTATCTATCTATTCTTTCTTTCTTTATTTGTTTCTTTGTTTCTTTCTTTCTTTATATCTGTCTTTCTTTCTTTCTTTCTTTCTTTCTTTCTTTCTTTCTTTCTTTCTTTCTTTCTTTCTTTCTTTCTTTCTTTCTTTCTTTCTTTCTTTCTTTCTTTCTTTCTTTCTTTCTTTCTTTCACTGAAACCAAGTAATGTCTTTCCCCTTCTTTCCACGCGACCAAAACGCGGAATAGTTTATTATTTATGAGGTAATGACAGGTCATACCATTCGTTCTATCTAAAAGACTGTGGGACAACAACAACAATAATAATAACAACAACAACAATAATAATAATAATAATAATAATAATAATAATAATAAGAAGAAGAAGAAGAAGAAGAAGAAAACATCAAATGCAATGGACCAAATCATGGTCAATACTCAACCCGTAACAAACAAGCCGATGTAGACAAACGCCTACTCATTAGTGGTTACTTAGTGGAGATTTGAAAGCTGAAACCGAAGGTTTTCCTTTTTACATGACTATTGTTTGTTAACTAAAAATTACCAATCACACATACTGGAAAATTGTGTTAGACTGACATGCAGATTTCGTGATAAATATCCAGAAACAATTGACAATCAGGTTTTCACAGTGTTAGCACCCTCCGAATATAAAATGCCGTATGATAGAGTGGGTCAATTTCTGCATTGGAAAATATGCAACTTTTACAGCAATTAAACTACAAGAAATTGGTATTAACATCACCCAGACCTGGTTACAGAGATAGAAACTATAACAATTTTATGGGACTTTAAAATATACACAGAGAGAACAATCAAAGCTAATCGCCCAGACATCGTGATCAAAGACCACAAGAACAGAAAGTGCTTACTTATTGACATGGCAGTTTCTGCAGAAAGTAATGTATCTTTGGAGTGGAAATCTTAAAAATATGGCACATGAGGACATTAATAATTCCAATTGATTGGAAAAGGTTCCGATAGATTCATTGACGGAACCCTGGTAGCCCAGGCCTTAAAGAAATACGGAAAAAATTACCCACAAGTACAGCTCACACATTACGAAGTGCTTAATCTGTGTAAAATATGTGCGATCTTAGTTAATTTTTTTTACAAAAATGGTCAGTGAAAAATGACATGCCTCTTTAGGTCTTTGTTTGTGGCCCGAAAAGAAATGCATATAGGAGAATTGTCATTTCATTGATCGCACTATTCTTTGTATATGTGATGTTCCTAGTAGGGCGATCATCTGGAGAACTTGTATGTTGCTGTTACCAGGGACACAGTAAAATTGTCCATTCCTTTTCTCACGAGGCCCCGATTACTATTGGTACCGTCTCAGTCTTCATTCCCCACATTCTGTTAATCTCGATCTCCAAGTCCTTGTATTTGGTCAATTTCTCGATAATCTTCATGGAGATGTTTCTCTCAGATATATGTCAATAAACATACACTTCCTGAATTTCTTGTCTTTTATAATACCAGGTCTGTTAGCTTTTATTCCCTGTCAGTTTGAATTGGCATATCCCAGTAGATAGTTATTTTGGGTAACTATATCTGACTAGTGATCATACCGTCTCTCAGTGGTTTCGATTTAGTGCTTCTTGCATATCTTCCAGTGCACATATTATTATGTCTATATTATGTCTATAGGTATATTCATTTTTGCTAGTTCCGGAAATCCTAAGTTAATATGGTCGACAGTTTCATGTGTTTATTTGGTGGGGATCTGGTTGTAAAGCTTTTGTCCTGAGCTGGAATAATTAGGCCTTCTATCTCAACTTTCAACCCCGGTGCTTCTCAACCACTGATGTGTTTTCTGTGGCTACACATCTGCTCCTTTTGTCCTTTTTATGTATTTGCCATGCAACGCCTTGTTCTCTCGGTTTTTTTTGTAAATTCATTTGGTCAAGTTTGTTTTCTGCTTTACTCGTTTAGTGTAAATGCTATTCGCTTCCTTCTTTGTTGGTAGGGTTTCAGGTACATTAAACTGTTTCTTGAAGCGCGCAGGTTCTTTGTTGATGTAGTGTATTTGGTGTTTTAGTATTTGTAGGAGAGGGTCATTGGTATTTATGAGGTATGCTTCCAATCCGATTCTTATTGTTTTTAGAGTTTTTCACGTTATATTAAGCCTACTTTTAATACACACATTATTCGGACTATTGTCCACATCTTTGTTGCCATATTTATCACAACGTTACGGTCCTTGTACGCTCCGGCCTTATTCAAGTGGTTGGAATGTCGAACAGAACCGTCATACAGCCTGACGTTCTATAACAGTTTACCAGGCTATATGACGGTTCCGTGTAGGATACAAGTTCGATTCCTGTCAGAGAATGCATATTTTCTAGGAAATTTCTCCGTTGCTCAGGCCGGTAAATGTTAATACTGCCTATTATAAACAGAGCATTTACTTAAATATTTGTGTCTATATAAATAACGTATAACAATAAAATATATTAAAATAAGTGTCGGACTTAATCTATATATTTCATAATTTATATTATATATATATATATATATATATATATATATATATATATATATATTTGTATATTTAGGCAGCAATCCTTCCTTTATGCATGTTTCATTAAAACGACAGACAAGGTTGAGCTTTTTTATTTAATTTTTCTTGTGTTCTGACAAGAACTTTCTTTTTTCTGGACAAAGGGTGTGTAAGAACTGTCCGAATGTTCTGTATTTCCGAGCGCTTTCGGCTATACCTTTAGCCATTATCAAGAATGATTCGATTATCAGCTTAGGAACATACTAGTAGAAAACACAAATATATTAACTGCATCCACTTGCAAAAAAAAAGAAAAAAATAATGGAAGCTCTAATAATAAAAAAAAAAAGCCAACTCTTAACAATATTAACTATGAACAAAGCCACAATGTGCTAACCGTATTCGGAAACTAAAAACATCACTACCAAACACTGAACATACACAGAACACAAACACTCTACTAAGCTGATAATCGAATCATCCTTGATAATGGCTAAAGGTATAGCCGAAAGCGCTCGGAAATACAGAACATTCGGACAGTTCTTACACGCCCCTTGTCCAGAAAAAAGAAAGCTCTTGTCAGAACACAACAAAAAATTAAATCAAAAGCTCAACTGTAGTACCTTGTCTGTCGTTTTTAATGAAACATATATATATATATATATATATATATATATATATATATATATATATATATATATATATATAATATTAGTGGTAAATATACACATACATATGCAAAATATATAAAAATATATACATAGGTGCATACACATATATGTATATTTTTTGAATAAAAAATTCCGAGAGGATAGAATCCAGGTAGAACTCAATGTCCAGGACAGAGTAAGGATATAATAAAAAGGCTTAAACACTAATATTCTATGGTCATAATTTATTCCATTGGAATCGTAAATACCTAAAACCTTTTTATTATTTATATATATATATATATATATATATATATATATATATATATATATATATATATATATATATATATATATATATATATATATATATATATATATATATATGTGTGTGTTTGTGTATTTATTATTTGAAATAAATAAGAAATACATTTCTGGATAAAATGGTTAATTTTATCAAACGATCAAAGAGTTCCTTCGCATTTCTGCAACGGTCCCACTAGAAAAATTCTTATCTCTTTTCATTATATGTGACTCCTATCATATTGAAAATATCAGACAGAATAAATAGTTATAATCGGAAATCATATTTCCCCGTGTTCCTGTTGTATATTAGAGATTCTTGATAAAAACTAAAAAAGAATCAACAATATTATTGGTCCTGACCTAGTAACTTGACTTCAGTCACTTTCCGAACGCCATAATGTTTTCATAGCAATTTTTCGAGTCATCTCTTCCTTATGATACCCAGACTTTATGAATATAAGCAAATGTCTCATCAGTTCAGATTTGAATTGGTTAGAGGCAACCGTAAGTTCTATGCTAAGAGTTTCTTTTCTTGCACTTCCCCCTTTGGGAATTCTCTTTCGGATCTATGCTTTCCAGTCAACTTTGATCTTCAAAAATTTAAATGTAATTTTTATCTATTGTCTTCTTGAGTCCTGCTCTTTTATTGCTATCGATCCTATTTTCTCTGTTCTCTTATTCTTTCAAACCAAGTAACCTTTTATGTCTCAGTGGCTTTATTGCCTTGCTTCGAGTGATATAGTTAATAAAATAGCAGAAAAATTTAAATATCTTGCACCATAATATTCATATCAAAAATAAAATCTAATATTTCAATTAAGACTAATACATTAAGCAAACTATAATTTCTATTCGTAATATCAAAAACAGAAATTAATACAAATGTTTAATCAATGCTACAATTTTCTTGATTCGGCCATTTTGAAAATCTTTCTTGATTCAGCCATTTTGAAAATATCGTATCAAACCAAATGTGTTGACGCTTCCTGATAAAAAAAAACATTTTGCCAAAGAAAATATTAACTTGAATAATAAAGAGAGCAATTCAAAATTAGGATTGAAACGTGATCATTCAATGCACTTTTGGGATTGTTTTATCTTGATCTCTTCAACAAGAAATCAATAATTTAGACAGTGACCGATCCAAGGACATAGAAAGGGTGGAATTAAGTAAGTTTAATTTACCGTCGTTAAATCTCAGCCTATCCATGAAAAGAAAAGGACCTAATAATTAACATTTGTCATCCAGATGGGGACTCTTGTTGTCAGTTAAAGCACAAGCGAGAATTATACGATTGTCACCGGGTGAGGAATATTAAACAGCCGGCCTTGGAATAGGCACTGGTGAAACGTTTTTCGAGCATAGCAATTTATTCCGTCTGACATTTTTAAGCTGAGAGTATAAATATAGACAATGTGGCTTGTTCGTCCTCACAAGAAACTTCAGGTTGAAAGCCAGCACTTCGCTCTTTTCTCTGTGTTCACCGTCAAAAATTCACTATGCCTAACTACACCCTCCATTACTTCAATGGCCGTGGACGTGCCGAGATCATCCGTATGATGTTCAATGTGGCCGGAGTCCCGTATAATGACAAGAGGTATGAATTCTCTGAGTGGGACCGTTGCAGGAATGGTAAGGAACTCTTTGATTTATTATCTGGTTTATTCTCAATTATCGTTTGATAAGATTAACCATTTTATTTCAAATAACAAGAACAAAAACAC